TGGGTCTTCAGGCACGCCGAATTCATCATTGTCGAGGCTTACCTCGTCTTCGGAGGAGGGTGTATAGTTGTCCCTTTCCAAGTATCCCACCGTGGCCTGTCCGGCCTGCTTTAAGTTAGGCTGATCAGGACAGTATTCCTCTTCGGCACTATCCGGATCATCTCCGGGCCGGTATTTATGTAGCGGGGTTTGGAGTGGCGCCGAAGACGCCCATGTTTTGCTTTTCCTCCCGAGGGGTTGTCCTCCACTGCCTCGTCACCATTGGTTTCTTTCGGAGTGTCCACCATGTATATATTGTTTGAAGAGGTGGCTGTCTATCGCCCTATGAGCGGTGGCTCCAGTACATCTCCGACATCATCGTCCATACCGTCGATGTCTTTGACGTCGAAATCGAGCACGTCGGTTAAATCATCAATTGTGGCGACAACGTGGGTGGTGGGTGGGCAGCGAATTCCTTCGTCGCCTGCTTCCCACTCAAGCCGAATATGGTTCGGCTCAAAGCCTCCTGACTCGGCTGGCTTGAGAGTGTGCGGACCAGGACCAACAGCCGGATATGAGTCCAGGGGCCTAGGGTTACAGGCCTCCACAGAGGTGAGACCTGTGTTCGGTTCCACCGCCGATGAGTGTGCGGCCTGTGGGGCAGGGTCCAGCCCTCCGGCCATAGGCAACGCGACCTGCCCTGGATTTAGATCCGGGGCTGCTACGGGGATGATGTCCCGAGCATTGTCCAATAGCAGGTCTAGGCCGTGCTCGCCGTTACTGTCCGGCATTCCCGGCTCAGGCTCGAATCCGTCGGAGATCAAGTCTCCGCGAATATCCGTCGTGTAGTTCAAGTTTCCAAACCTGATCTGGTGGCCAGGGGCGTAGCTGTCGATCTGCTCCAGGTGGCCAAGCGAATTGGCCCATAGTGCAAAGGCGTCGAACACAAAGATCTATCCGGGGAGAAAAGTCTCACCTTGGACCGTGTTGTTGGCGATTGAAGACGCCATCAAGCCTCGAAGCGATGACACAGAGGAACTCTCATTGAAAGCACCAATGTCGGTGTAAGAACCGGCGGATCTCGGGTAGGGGGTCCCGATCTGTGCGTCTTAGGCTGATGGTAACAGGAAGCAAGGGACACAATGTTTACCCAGGTTCGGGCCCTCTCGATGGAGGTAAAACCCTACTTCATGCTTGACTAATATTGAAGATATATGGAATACAAGAGTAGATCTACCACGAGCTAAACCCTAAGAGCTAGCCTATGATGGTATGACTGTAATTGTGATCGGCCTTCTAAGGACCATGCTCTCCGGTTTATATAGACACTGGAGAGCTAGGGTTTACATGGAGTCAGTTACAAGGAAGAAAACATAATATCCGGATCGCCAAGCTTGTCTTCCACGCAAAGGAGAGTCCCATCCGGACACGAGCGGAAGTCTTGAGTCTTGTATCTTGACGCTTCTATAGTCCGAACGATGTATATAGTCCGGCTGTCCGGATACCCCCTTATCCAGGACTCCCTCAGTATGAGCCGAGCCGGGGGTATGTGCCCAGTAAAGTAAGGCCATTAGTGCGGTTGAGGCGCCGTTCGTGCGGCGGGGCATTTGTGCGCCAAAAATTCCAGTGTGCTCCTTCTTCCACCTTCGTCCGAGCGAGCTGAGAGAGAGAGAGAGAGCAGCCAGGCTTGGAAACAACAATTGGTATCAGAGCTGGTTCGTCTTGGGCGTCATTCTCCTTGCCGGAGGCATGCCGACGGTGGCGGAGTTCGCCGGCGGCTGCGTGATGCTCCAAGCCGTGTGTCGGTCTATGAAGGTGCGCGGCGGGCCGAGGAGGCCGCGGTGGCTGCGGCGGCACGGTGATGAGGCCGCGGAGGACCTGCGTGGTGGTGGCTTCAACGACACAGCGGATGGCGGCATGGAGGTGCTGCGCGGCGGTTGAGGCCGCAGCAGTGCAGGGCAATAAGCCGTGGTGGCGAGCCGGGCACGATCGGTGCGTGTTATGGGTGCGCAATAGACGTGTCGGGTTCGTCGGGACCGCGGGCACGCGTACGAGCGCGCAATTGACGTTGAGAGGAGGCGTATGTCGCCGTTGTGCTCGAGTTCGTGCTCGAGTTCGGCTACATCCTTTCAGCGTTTGTCGCTGGCGGCTACCATGACGGACACGGAGGTGGCGTGCGGTGAGCGTCTGGTATGGTCGGGCTCGTCGGGCTCGTCGGGTGCGCGCGGGATGTGCGGGCGCAGACGGACGCCAGGCGTGTGTTGCCAGCGGAGAAGGAGCTCGGCATATGTCGCCGGGGTCGTGATGGAGCATGGTGCGAGCGGCGTCAGTGCGCCAGGTCGGGTCCATGGCGGTGCGACCGGCGTCGATGCGTCGGGTCGGGTCGGGTCCACAGGCTGGTCACGGCCGCGACGATGACGACAGGAGCAGCAACAACTCCAGCCATGGCCACGACAAGCCATGTCGTGGTTTAGGGAGAGTATGTTAGGAGTAAACCACGTCTAGGTCTGTTGCGTGCATCTATGTCACATCGGGTGAGTCACTTTGCGCATGTTGGTGCATGCATGGGCACTCTGCTCCCGAGGGCTACAAAGCCGGGCCCTATTCAGTTAGTTAGCTGGATGAGGTTTGTTAGCTAGCATTACGCATGGAGAGTTGTGAGTGGGCTCAGTCATTAGAGGATAAGCATCACCATGCAGTACTGGCCGGAAGTTCACGCAGTTAGTGCGTGTGTGGAGTTGTGGCCGGGTTGTTTGTGAGCACAGGGTATAAAACCCCTCTCCTCTGTAATGATCGTCGCGCCGGTGTGTTGCTGAGCAACGGTGATGGTATGAGCCGAGCCGGGGGTATGTGCCCAGTAAAGTAAGGCCGTTCGTGCGGCCGAGGCGCCGTTCGTGCGGCGGGGCGTTTGTGCACCAAGAATTCCAGTGTGCTCCTTCTTCCACCTTCGTTCGAGCGAGCTAAGAGAGAGGAGAGAGAGAGAGCAGCCAGGCTTGGCAACAACAGCAACAATCTTGCTCGCTAGTTGGCAGCGGAGACCAGACGTATTAGAGACAAGGAGATGATAGCAGACGTCCCATCTAGCCTTCAGTCTATTATCATCTCTGAATGTAATGGTCACGTTTGAGTATGCTCCCCTACTTTAATTCTCAAAAAAAATATAATACCAAAATATGCCCCATTTTACATAGTTCTAGTCTATACCCGCAATAAATAATGACAATAAATTTCCTAAATCTTCTCAATATACATCTTTGTAATCTATATCCACAATTAATAATGGCAATAAATTTCATAAAACTTCTGGATCTACATCTTTGTAATCTATATCCACAATAAATAATGGCAATAAACTTTATAAATCAATCTACATCTTTGTAATCTATATCCACATTAATTATTTGTTATAAATTGGAAATCTGCTCATTTACTTATTTCTAATATGTGGGACAATAACTCACGGCATTAAAATTACAATATATGGTTAATTTGCTCTTTGTAATCTACCCTACAATAATTGATGACAAATAAATGTCCAAGATATGCTTGATACATATCTTTGTAATCAGTATCCTCAATAACATATGGCAAAATCTAGATGCAAAGATAATGTATTGAGCATAAATTTGTACCCACAACATACCCACATAACTCCAAAATATGCACGGTCAACATTTTGGATTTGAACTTTGAGAGATTTCTAGTTTGTAATAGTTGGGGAGTAAAGGTGGGTGATTTGTCAATTTTTACTATTGAGACCAGAGTTCAATAGTTGGACAATAATTCGATGGTGAAACCAGATTATGCTCACATGTAAGACATTCTCTGTATAGTTCACTATGGTGTCGCTGAACTATTCCATGTATAAATTATACATAATTCAATTTAGGAATATAAAACAACAATAAGTTTCATAACCGATGTTTAAATGGCAAACATATTGAAAAGGGTGAATTATCATTGTCAAACTATGTTTTGTGCTGGTGTTACAAAGTGTTTTTACAATACTAGGGATAGCTGGAAGATCTTTAAATTTGTGCGCTTTGGGGTGGTGATTGGGGCAATACATTGAATATAACTCTTTAGTTTACTGTACATGATACAATTTGTCATGTATGAATAAATCCAGTTCTAATCCGGTTGATTATAACATCATTGGTTTCTCCTTCATCATAGATGACAAGAGATATTTTGAATGTGTTATCATATGATTCCTCTAGGATGGTGTGAAGTAGACGAAGTAAAAAAGGAAGTTAGAGTAAGATATCAGTGTTAGTGGCGATGTACAATAAAAAAGTGCACACATGCCATTTTACGTATACATGTGAGTCATGTCTGTTTCTTGTGTTCATGATGAAGAAACTCTATTTAACCAATATCACATTATCTGATCATTTGACAATGCTTTGATGTAGTATGCATGATACAAGTTTTCATATTCTTTTTTGCCGGTTCAAGTGTTCTGGATGCCATTACATCCATAGTTTTTCCCATAGATTTTAAAATGTAGTTTTGCATATTATATATGTTAGGAATCATTGCATATATGTTCTTATAACTTTCATTTGTTTAATGCAATTACTGCAATTTTACAGGTTACAAAATGCAATATATCAATCCATAGCTTTCTTGCAAAGTCTTGAAAAACTTTAGGAAGAAGCGGCAATGATAATTTGCCTTGTCCTTTGGAAGTTCCCATCTCTTGTCAATTGCTTTGAATCCTCCACGACCATCCATTCTTGCAAAACCAAAAGAAGGACAAGGGAAACGTGCCACGTGTGCGGCCTGAGCCAAATATATTCCAGGTCAAGTATGATCCAAGCATTAAAGGCTAATAAACGGAGCCAGCGGAGGTTTTTGGTTGCTATTTGAGGAGTGATCTGAAGAACAAGAGAACAAACGAGTGAGGTGTGGGGCACCCATCCCCCATCTATTTAACTGCTAGCATACCAGAACCTTAGGCACCCCTTAGCCCTTGCAACCTCAGTTTCATACAACACATTCTGACTACCACAGATCTGATGGCCCCTGTCTCCGCCGTTGGCATCAAGCGCTCCGCCCCGTGCGACTACGACGAGCAGCCTGGCGTTCAGTGCAAGGGGGTGTCGTCGCACCAAGCACACCAGAGTACTTTCAAGGGCAAGCAAGTAGCCGACCCTGAAGACCACGGTGGTGATGAAGCTAACGAGCGGAAGCGGCGCCGGCGTCTTGCCATCGACATCAATGAGGTGCCCCACAACAAAGATGAGGACCTCAACAACCCTCTTCATGTCGGGGCCCCGGCTGCAGGTGGTAGGTGCTCCCAGCTGCCACCCTGGCTGCTCTCACTCGTGAAAAAGAAGCAAGCGCATGACAACGAGATACTAGAGCTTGCAGACCAGCGCTTGCACTCGGCCACGAAGGACCTAGTGGAGGAAATGGAGTCGAAGAAGACGCAGATGGAGAATGAGAAGATGCGGCTGGAGAACTATCGACTCCTATTGCAGGTCAAGCTCAATGAGTTGGAGCTCAAGATTTCCAGGTCGACAAGGATCTAGGGTGTGTCCATGCATCTAGGTTGTTTTTCATTACGCTGGAAATCAGGGGGGATGAAACAAAAGGAGGAACAAATAAGAGGCTTCAAGAAAGATTCCTATTTCTGCTACATATGAAATAAATGTGCTGCAAATTTTGTTTTTTGACATGCTTTCATGTGTGAATGTCTCAATGCATTATTTTTTTTTATTTACAAAAATGGATATTAAGTGCTTTCGGTAGAGGACCTCGATACTCTGTGGAGCTCATTGAGATAACCAAAGGAGGAGGCTTTCATGGATGGAATCATCTCGCTCTTGCCACTATTGCCAAATCCTACCTTCACCCCCTTCTTTCTACCCATAGTCATTGCTTAATTCCTATCCACATTGCTTGACCTCACTAAGATGAGGCATCTGATTACTCTCCATACTTGTGGTGGCCAATGGAAGAGACGGCCATAATGTCGGTTGGTGGTAGATTAATTTTCCGTATGTCTTCAGCTCCTTCTTTGTCCATGGCATGAGAGGCGTTGAATGTGCCATGTTCTATTTCCTCTGAGATAGTGTGGACTAGTCAAAGATGAGGAGAAAGACAGAGTAAGATGTTGGTGTATGTCGTGTCTGTCGTGATGCACAATCCAAAACCGCACACATGTCAAATTGACATATAAATGTGCATCATATTTGTCTTTTGTGTTCACTATGTAGAAAGTCTTTGACTAGTATCATATACACTTTTTTCTCATATGTCATGTCTGAGCACAAAGGTAGTAATTAACACATACACGGATCATCTAGTGTTTGTGCGATCTCATTATTCTGGTCAGGGCAACGACACCTATGAGATCACATGGATCCCTTCTACAGTTGGCGGGAGAGAGGGGTGCACAAAGAGCATGTCCAACGATCAACACAATGGATTTTTAACCAGGTTCGAGCCGCTGAGAAGCGTAAAACCCTAGTCATGCTTTAAGTGTATATTTAGTGTTCTTGGACTTTGACTAGCTGCTATGCATGCCCAGTCCAAAAAGTTCAAATCCTTCTCCAGTACGCCTTGGGCCTCCTTTTATACATCCAAGGGGTCGCAACTATGGCACACAGGAGGTGTAAAGTAGCTATAGTACAAATGTTTATCACTGACTTTGTAGGACAAACACATTAAATGCGCTGCTTAAGTGCCCCCTAACTTTATCGGGGACGGAAACAGAACCCGTCCCATCCGTCGCCACCTCACCTCGTCTTGACACACATCCAGGATGATGCGGCATGCAGCGCTAAGCTGACTAGCTAGCCGCTACGCTGGAGCGTTGGCAGGATATTCACGAAGATCTGCATGCCGCCATGCAGGTGCTTGCCTAGTTGGCAGGCTTGTCGCTGTGCTGGAACGGTCGCAGGGCGGCGGCATCTTGTCGTGCGCAAGCCTCGCTGTGGCTTCGCAGTCATCCCTGGCAAGAGTCCTGCCGGGGCCTCGCGGTCGTCCCCGGAAGGCCGTCTTCTGGTCTTCACGAAGATCTGCATGCCACGAGTCTTCACAAAGATCTGCATGCTACTACACATGTGCCCTTAACTCTTTGTCTTGATGTTGTCGATGGTGTCAGAGCTCTCACCCTCAAGGGTGGTGGTCCTATCTGTGCTTCGCAAGCTGTCCCGGCAAGGGTCTTGTCAGGGCTTCGCAAGCCGCCCTGGCAAGGATCTTGCAGAGGGTCTATCTTCTCTTTTGCTCCCTGTTTATTGGCTTGGTTGTCGCCTCAGTCGTCTTGTATTTTTCCTTCAACTGCCCCGTCAATCCTCGCCATAGGTGCGTCTACAACTGCCCGTGCACAAGTAAGGGGTACAAAAGGGCCCAGACTTATGTACACCGACAGGACCCCCGGGCCTGGGCCATACATGAGTGCGAGGCGTCGTTGGGCCCGGCCCAAAATAGTGCGCGGGAACACGTGGCTGGGATTAACTGATGTAATCTCGTCTGTTGCGCTTCCCCACGATCCATATTGAGTGCACGACGTGGGGGTCGTGTGTGGAACGGTCGCGGCACGCCTGTGGCGCCTTCATATCAAACGATAAGGAGGCAGCCCGCGCCTTCCGCATAAAAAGAGGGATATGTAGGGGTGCTGCTCGTTTACCCCTCTTGCCTTTCCCAATCTAGGAACCGCCGCCCCCTTCTTCTTCCTCGAGCCCAAACCAGAGCCTACGCCTCCATCTGCCGCCACCGCGCCCTCACCGCTCTCGATCCCCCGCCCTCCCCCGGCTGCCATGGCACCCAAGACGAGCAAGGGCAAGGGAGCATCCAAGGTGAGCGAGGGGAAGGAGGTGTCGGAGACTGAATTGGCGAAGATGCGGAAGAAGTACGTCGTCTTTGCCCCGATGGTTGACGCGCTCGTGCTCAGGGATCGATACCGGTGCCTGTGGGGGAGAGAGACGTCGGGGCACCCCACGACTCGCGTCATCCCTGCTCCTTTCTCCATGCCTGCTCCAGATAAATATCCCTTCTTCGTTGATTATTTCTACTACGGGCTTTGCCCCCATTCTTAGATTTCTTCAACGACATCATGTACACCTTCGCCCTCCATCTTCCGGATTTCACACCGAAAGCCGTGGCGTGTATGGACATCTTCGCCCACCTCAGCAAGGGCTTCGCCGGGGTGGTCCCCAACACGGCGCTCTTCCGCCACTACTTCGTCCCCCACATCCAGCAAGGAGAGGCTCTCTCTGGCTGTGTCACTTGGATCCGGAGGGCCTTGAGCAAGAATACGTACCCAGAGGGGACCCAGAAGGAGAAGTGGGACGAATGGCGGGGCAAGTGGTGCTGGATCGTGGAGGAGGAGCCGCTGCTATTTTGTATGCGCTCGCAGAGAAAATTGGTTCGCAGCAAGAACTGGGGTGACTTCGATGCTGACGACAAGAAGTTTACGGTTGCCACCACCAGAATCCATCACCTCAAGCTGTCGACCTCACACTCGAGGAGATTGGGGCCGACTTTCTCCATCGCCGGATTTCTCCTCTGCACAACAAGGGGAGGCCAGCCTGAGATTTCAAGAGCGCGGCAGACATCATGAGGCTATGCCCCGGCCTGAAAAACAACTTCATGGTAATGCAGCATGCGTCTCTCTACCAAAAGTTGTTTCAGTTCAGGGCCGACAAGACTAGCAAGGCCAACAAGCCGTTCAGGTTGCCGGCGGGGGTGGTCCCCTTGTGCAACAACTCTTCCTTGACCTCCATCATCGCCATGATGCCGGTGTTCAACGCCCATGGCCTTGATCAGAGCTGGGCCAAGACAGACATGGTGATGGTGCATGAATTCTTTGACAACTTGTCGGAGAAGGTCGTCCGCGAAAAGCTGCAGCTTATCCGCGACACCACCGACGAAGTGGTGGCGTATATTTCCAGTAGGGCGGAGGAGGCAGCCCTTGCTGCGGAGGCCGGCAGCATCGGCTCCATGGAGGACGAGGCCGATGAGGAGAAAGAGTTCGTCGAGTGGAAGGAGCCTGCCGGAGAGCACATCGGCATGGGCATCGGGGTTCCTCCTGCTGAAGAGGCGGCCAAAGAGAGGGCCGAAGAGGCAACTGATGAGGAGGAGCCTCTAGCCCAAAAGATAAATGTGTCGTTCGGCGGGCTATCTCCGGTGAGCCAGTCAAGTGGGCCTCTTCGCATTAGGAGGGCCCCGACAAGGGAGCGGCCAGCAAGGCCGCACAACGGCAACAGGCACAGGCGCAACCTATGCGTCATAGGAGGCGCATGGCTGCGGTGATGAAGCAAGTTGCGGCTGCTGCCTCCTCCTCGGCCAAGCGGCACAGGTTGTTGGAAATATGCCCTAGAGGCAATAATAAAAGGATTATTATTATATTTCCTTGTTCATGATAATTGTCTTTTATTCATGCTATAATTGTATTATCCGGAAGTCGTAATACACGTGTGAATACATAGACCACAATACGTCCCTAGTAAGCCTCTAGTTGACTAGCTCGTTGGTCAACAGATAGTCATGGTTTCCTGACTATGGACATTAGATGTCGTTGACAACGGGATCACATCATTAGGAGAATGATGTGATGGACAAGACCCAATCATAAGCATAGCACAAGATCGTGTAGTTCGTTTTGCTAGAGCTTTTCCAATGTCAAGTATCTTTTCCTTAGACCATGAGATCGTGTAACTCCCGGATACCGTAGAAGTGCTTTGGGTGTACCAAACGTCACAACGTAACTAGGTAACTATAAAGGTGCACTACAGGTATCTCCGAAAGTGTCTGTTGGGTTGACACGGATCGAGACTGGGATTTGTCACTCCGTATAACGGAGAGGTATCACTGGGCCCACTCGGTAGTGCATCAGCATAATGAGCTCAAAGTGACCAAGTGTCTGGTCACGGGATCATGCATTACGGTACGAGTAAAGTGACTTGACGGTAACGAGACTGAACGAGGTATTGGGATACCGACGATCGAGTCTCGGGCAAGTAACATACCGTCTGACAAAGGGAATAGTATACGGGGTTGCTTGAATCCTCAACATCATGGTTCATCCGATGAGATCATCGAGGAGTATGTGGGAGCCAACATGGGTATCCAGATCCCGTTGTTGGTTATTGACCGGAGAGTCGTCTCGGTCATGTCTGCATGTCTCCCGAACCCGTAGGGTCTACACACTTAAGGTTCCGTGACGCTAGGGTTGTATGAATATGAGTATGCAGCATACCGAAAGTTGTTCGGAGTCCCGGATGAGATCCCGGACGTCACAAGGAGTTCCGGAATGGTCCGGAGGTAAAGAATTATATATAGGAAGTGATGTTTCGGCCATCGGGAAAGTTTCGGGGTCACCCGGTATTGTACCGGGACCACCGGAAGGGTCCCGGGGGTCCACCGGGTGGGGCCACCTATCCCGGAGATCCCCGTGGGCTGAAGTCGGCTGGTGCGCCCCCCTTTGGCCCCCCCTGCTCCTAGGGTTGGAAACCCTAGGTGGGGGGGCGCACCACTTGCCTTGGGGGGCACTCCACCCCCCCTGGCCGACGCCCCCTTGGGAGAT